TCTCAGCCACATAGCGGGGCCCCACTGGCTGTGGGAGAAAGTGCCACTTGGTGAGCCTGCCACTCAAGGCTTCAGCCGTCGGCCTCGACTTCCTTACGCTGTTCTAGCATTCTGCAGGCTGGGATTTAACCTCAAACACTTAAACAGAAGCGAGGATGTAACCTTGCAGGCATCACAGAAGGAAGATGTGGATTCCCATCGCCCGGAGATGCTACGAACGCCTCGCACGCAGAGAGTCTCTCTCGTTACCCCGCTGCCCACTTTCATGACTCCTTATTCTTAACCAACGCCCGGGTGATTTCCTGAGCACGGGTGTAACACGCTTCTCGAGGTCTGGGGGGTCCTTCTTTCCCGTCTTCTGTCCCTCCGAAAGCAGATGTCAGTGTACAAAGCAGGGAAACACCAGCACCGGCCTCACTCGCTGTCACAAGCCAAAGACCGTGATGACCGAAGGTAAGCAAGATGACGCCAACATCTGCTTCACCTGAAGCTCCTAAGATGCTACTTCTGCAAATCGTATTTTTCATCTGTGCGAGGCGTTATCACACCACGGCTATTTTACTGTTGTTGAAATTCGGGGTTGGGGGGACTATAAAGGAAATACATTGTTAGAAAAAAAAGAGGCATAAATCATATTTCGGTTCCAGCTTCTTCAACGGAAACGATGGTGTCTGTATCTCCAAGCCCGACAGTTCTCTTGTCCACGAGTGAGAAGCCCCCAAGGCCCCGTGGCCTCCTTTCCTGGCCGGCTCTGCCCTCTCCTCCCAGGGACCCGAGGCCTCACCGGGTCCAGTGCCCCACTCCTGGCTGGCTCCTGTCCTGTCTTCCCAGCCCGATGTCATCTTTGTGACAATACCTTTTCCGACATGACTACCTGCAGCCACACTGGTCTGTCCACCTTCCACAGCTATCCCTCGGACCTCGCCGACTTGGTGTCTTCATTTATTTATTTTTTTTCCATGTCTACCAGTTTGGGTCCTTCCCTCATGTTACGCCCTCTACTCAGATCTCGCCTTCTTCCCGAAACCGACCTCCATGATCCAAACCAGGGTTTTCTTTCTTCCCAGACCACTCAAAGCTGTCGGAGTCTCCGGGATCGCTCCCCTGACGACCCCGTTCAAGAATTATTTGTGTGGTAAAGCGCTGTGCAGGGTAAGGTGACGTCACCTGCAGTTTCGTCTTTTCTTTCCAGATATTTTGTGAGTCCTCGAAGGCTACGTGCTCAACCTCGTCTCTGTCTCCTGGTGCCTTGCGTCTTTAGGGAGCAGGAGATGGGGCATTATGGGACGGAGGGGACGGTGTTTCTTCAAGGTGAGCTGTAAGGTGGCATCTGAAGCCAGATCAGCAAACTTTCGTACTGTGTTACGTAAACATCCGTTGGTCTTTCTCGCACTGCGAACGGAACTTTTCTCTTAACCCAATCATGATCCTGTAACATCACACATAGGTCACATATATCACACATATCGTTTCACAAAAGTATGTAATTCTTTCAAATGTGGACTCATTTTGTTATACAAACTAAAAAAAAAGCATTTGTCAACACCGCCGTCGATCTCGTCGAAAAGCTGTCAAGGATTGGGAAGCTTTTGGGCTTACGGCGGCAGATAGGAGTTTTCCAAAATTCAATTTTCACGCGAAAGCTTGAATTTTATTGTTAGCAACACATCACGTCAGTCGTTTTCCTTGAAGTGATGGGTTCGCTGTTTATTTCTGAGAAACTATTGGCCCGGTCTTAATGCTGAATAACCATAGTTTGTCTGCCAGCGTTTCTGTCAACTAAACATGGTGTTCTGTGGGAAAAAAAACAAAAAACAAAAAACAAAAAACAAAACCCAGCTCGTTCAGGTTGCAACTCAAGCACTCACACCAGCGTGGTGTCTTGAGACATCACGGTTTGCTACACAGAGGAAGTCCTTTTGTGCTATACCTCGGTTTGCCACACGCAATTTGAAAAAGATGCACGCTCCGGGGCATGATTCAGTAAAACGAGTGATTTGCACGCACTGCTTCCATGAGCATCCCCTGAAGTAACCTTGACTTTGTTGGCGGTGGTGCCACCACGGGGAGCCTGCTGTCACCGCCTCAATCAGTGCGAGGCAACTCCACTTGTCATCCATGGCGGAAATTCACCACAGAGGCACAAAGCAAATGCCATTTCCGTACTTGTCATAAAAAGTTCTGAGCTTGTGAGCCGGGCCATCTGCAAGAGTCTTGGGAACCTCTGGGACTCGGGACCCCACTGTTGAGAGGTGCTGTCCTCAGGCGCCCTCCTTGACCTCTCTAAAATTGGCATAAAGCAGTTTCGAGAGTTAAAGCAAATGTTATTTAACGAGAAATCACGCGCGTGAAGCACACAGGAGTACGCACGAGGAGCTTCTGAAATGTGAGCCGTGGCTACGAACCCATCACTGTTGCGAGGGTCTGGCTCTCACTGGGACAACGGCGATGGTGATAGTCTTTGGTTTTTCTCCATAAACTCGCTCCCCTGCCGCGTCTCCATGTCGGTGAACTGCTTCATCTGTCTTCTGCAGCCTCGCTCTCTGCTCCAGCAGGTGTCGCCCCCACAGGCACCACCCAGCTGACCTCTGTGGGGCCTTCCCCTCCATTCCTGCCGCCTCTGCCATCGTGACAGAGCGTGGTTTCGTGCAAAGAAGCTGCTGCGAAAGGCAGATATCCGGCTATCGGTACTTGACGTGCCTGAGACTCAGTTTACCCATCCTCAGGGCGGGAATAATAGCGATGTGTTCGGCTCATCTTTCCCTGTCTCCTTTCCTCGTGGTTTTTCTCAAAACAGTCTTTCTTCTTTTCCTTCTTCTCTCCCACCTATCCAGAACATACCACTGAGTCAATTTTCTCACAGCATACATAGCTCATTCTATAAATCGGTGCCCGGGGGGGTTGCAGAAGTAAACACAAGACAGGACTTACGAGCTACAGTCTCGTAGTGGACCGTCATCGCCTGCTGACATCTTTCCCGCCTGTCCACTGTCCTCATGGCCATACTCAACCGAGGACCATTCTTCTGAGCATGGCAGCCAGGCCTGTCCAGTGGCCTAGTTCATGTCAACTGAATGCATCGGTCTGTGACCTCACAGCTCCCGACGTCCAGGGCACTGCTTGCCACCTCCCCCGTCCCCCGTCCGCCTGCTCCTGAAGGCCCAGTTCACTGCCCCGCGTGCGAGCCCTTCTCCAGGCCCCCAGGGGGATGTGTCCCCATCAGTGACACGTCCTTCCTGTGCCACCTAGGGGACTCACCGTATCGAGGCACGTCTTGGTTCTCTCCGCTAGACTCTGATCTCCCCAGGAAAATGCATCTCTCATCCCAGCCTCAGTAGGTCACGTGAGGGCCTCGCGCCTGCACTTAACTCTCTGACCTGTGCATCGACGGAGAAACGGAAAACGTTTCCTCATTTTGTTGAGCGTGTGGACCGAGACCCTACATCAGAGAGCGGCTGCTGTCAAATGAACGAACAGCTACTCCTTCGCCCCGGCAGCAAAACGCGGACACGTCTCGTGTGGGCGGGGCCCACGGCTCCTGTTCTCAGTGACACTTCCTGGTGCTCCTGTTGATACATCTGTGAGCAGCGATTCTTAACGGCAATCTTTACTGAGAACGGGAGGATATGTGATTCTAGAAAGGAGAACAGGACAGCCAAGGGGACAATCTGTGTCTCATCGGGCGTTCCTGGGAGATAGCTCGCTTTCACAGAGAAGCCTCCGCACCACTCTGTCTTCGAAAGAACAGAGTCGAGCGGCGGTGGCTTTGCGTTTCTGGCCTTATCCTGGGACCTGCCCGGACGGCCCGCCTGGTTGTGGTTCCTGGATCTCATTGCTGGCCGAGTCTGGAAGAATCCTGTGGTTAAACCTCTGCCGGTAAAATCCTGGGCGAAGGTCTGGCTGGACAGCGTGGGTTTCGCCTGTCCTTTGCGGACGGCTCTGCGATCTCGGAGAGACCAGGCCCTCGAGGGCATTGGGGAGGCCACCTTATATATGTCATGGGAGTTCCTCCTGCGCCCTGCTGCAGGGGCGGGGTGGGGGGAGCTGCGGCCACCGCATGGACCCTGACGAAGGTTTCGCTAGGTCTCTTCTCTTCCTGTCTCTCCTCCCACGGCGGGCAAAGGTCCTCTTGCTTTCCGAAAGGTTAGGACACCAGGAGCCCTGACTGGCTGCTCCCCTTGATTCTGGGGGTGGGGTGCGGTCAGCAGGGGGTTAAATCGGGGGCGTGATGCTCACGATGACCCTAAGCCCTAGAGACCCGGTATCTAGTCCCAACTGCCCCTCGACCTGATTTTAGGTTTGGAAAGTGATCCCTGGGGTCACTTGTGATTCCTACGGCCACTCCTGTGTGAGGGGCCCCGGGGAGTGGGGAGTTGGAATCTGTCCCTTGGTCAGGCTGGATTCCCAGGAAGCCTCTTACAAGGCACACCAGAGAGGCAGCAGGCCAGGAGGGGCTGGGTGAGCCCCCTGTGCCACTTTCTCCAAGTCCCCACTCCACTGCGTGCGGTGCCTCTGCCCCAGAGGTCTTCCTCCTCGCGGCCCAGGACCCTCCTGGGTCTCCTTCAAGGTCCTGCACAAAAGGCCCTTCCGCCTTTCTGACAGATTCCCACGGCTGTGACAGATCTGTCTTTCCCTTGGCGAGCTCCCAGGTGTCCCCACCCACCCGTGCTGTAAAAAGCAACGTTGCTGCCGCCCCGACGGGATGGTGGGTTCTGGCTGCATCCGAGGAGCCGCCTGCACCTGTTCGTGTCCTCACCGGCACCTCTGTTCCAGGAGACTCTGGACTCGTGGTAGGGAGAGAGAACTCCCAGCAAGTCCATTAATCACAGGACCGGAGTCGGTGAAAGGTAATCCTTTTTAGAATGTGAGTTATGGAGCTTTGTAACGTGCCATTTATCTATGTCTGTGTGGAAGGGAGAAACGCCAGGGCGAGTTTATTAAACAGAGTGTGTGCTCTCTGCTGTCTGCAGGCCCCGGCACACGGCAATTCCCTGACACGATGAATTTCGATGAAAATGTTGATCAGGCGCCGGAGTTGCTGGTTACCAAACGTGGAGCAGGTATTTGAGCACGCTTGGCAAGCTAGCTGTTTAATTGTTGGGCATCTGTGTCTATCTGAACCCACCTTGCTTTAGTGTTTACTATCTGAACGATGCGAGGCATATTTTCTTGGAAGAAAGGCAAACAGCTTTGGAAATCGAGAGCCTGCTAGAACTCTGAACCAGGCAGGTACGTTTTAGAAGGATAAAAGGGATCAGTACAGTCAGCCACGAATTTGAAAAGCCTCACTAAAAAGTGAAAGGAAGGATTCCTACGTTTCTTTCCCCTCTCCTACCCACCAACAGCATTGCCGTGTGGCCACAAACCTTGGCTGAATGGGACAAAATGGAAACCTTTTCATTCATGTGAAGTAGACAACGTGCACGATATTTCGTTCTCAGTTTTAAGAAGTCAATATAAACCGGAGAGAGAAAACCCATTGTCTCCAGACTTCCTTCTTTAAGAAAAACAAACAAACAAAACTCACAGCAGCTGCTACATGGACAAATGACAATACTGTCCTGGTGTATTTGAGGTTAACCCCTAATGGCACTTGTGTCTATAGGGCTCAAGCCAACAAACGTTTATTCAGCGTTTGCTTCTCTAGCTCCCCCACATCTTGCTGGTGTCCCCCCGCCCCCCCGCCCCCTCCTCAGGTCCTGGCACGGGCACCTCAGTGCCTTCTCGATATTTAGCAAGTGGGTGAATGCTGTGTGTCCACGTGGGAGATACCGGTGTTCCTAGAGAGCTTAGCACAGTCCCGGGCACAGAGTGGGCATCTGAAAAATGTGACCAAGTACGAAGGAAAACGGACAGGACCTGAGGGAGGTGGTGGCCTAAGCTCAGGTGGGTGATGAGCCAGCACCTGGTCCTGCCAGCTTCCTAAGGCAGAGGTGAGTGGGGGCCCGGGGTGCAGACTTGTTAGTGGGGTTAGTGGGGTTTGTAGTCCTCGGTCTGTGATCCTTTCCTCGTCAGTCCACCACAGATCTAAGGGGGCCAGTGCCCTGCCAGGGAGACCCCCGACAGCCGCATGGTTTCGGCAGGACGCTCCTCTGCTCGCATTCCGACTTAATTCATTTTTATCAGGCGTTTTGAAATGACGCCCTTCCTTTTCCATTCTGGTGAACGCTTGGTTACATTTGTACGAAATTACATTCACACACATACTTCTTTCGAAAGCCAAATTCCAGGCCTAAGCGATTGGCCGAATTCCATTAAAAACGAACCTTAAGTAAATTAGTTGAGCCAAGTAAGAAACACCTTCACCCAAGTGGAGACCTGGTGCCAACCGTGTTCAGAGTTGAGTTGCTGGTTTTCACAGCAGATGGCAACAGGGAGCAGCAGAGCAAGGTCCTTTCGCTTCCCCTTTCCGCCGCCCCCCATCACTTTGGGGACCAGAAGGGGACCACGGACCAATTGCTGGAGGTCCAGGAGGAGTGGGGGCGGCACATCAGGGTGCAGGACGCGGCCTAGCTGGGGGGCAGGGGGGAAGGGCGGAGCGGAGGCTGGTGGCCGGAGCGGCGCAGGTTGTCCCGGAGGAGCACG